GTGAAGATCGGCTCTTTCCATAAGAGTAAATCGGTGTAAATTGAAATAGTTATATCTCAGCAATCGTTTAGTGGACGCATTCTTACTTTTCTGCAGTGCATTAGGAAGACTAAAAGAACAACTTTACAAATTTTTAGCGACTTTGTACTATTTTGAAGATAGGTCCGATACATCCTTAAGTATCGTTGACGTTATTTGTTCCCCGATTGTTTCTTGCAATCCTCACAATGGACAGTGAACAATCCCATACAGCACAGATGGTTGCAATTACATTGCAGAAACGTTGCAATCTTGCAGAGACATTGCAGGGATATAAAATTGCAAACTTTCGATAGTAATATTGCAGCAATGTTTCAAAAATAATGAAAATACTATATTTTCTATTTAAAAAATTTTTCTAATTACGAGAATTTTTTTATGTTATTTTTGTTGATACCAGTAATGGGCGAATTATTAAGTACTTGATCATTGCGATGTTGCTCGCAATCCCCATCTATTGCGAAGCGATATGACCTCCTTAGGTTGCTTCGCAATAGCTTGCTATTATGCATTGAAAAAGACCCGTAAATTAGTAAATTCTCTGCTTGTGTACAACAACAAATTATTCCAAAAATATTGCACTGCAACATTGCTATAATGTTGCATTGCAATCTCTCTAAGGGCGGACATTTTAACGTTGCTGCAATATTGCAATCTTGCAATGTAACATTTCTGCAATCTTCCTGCAATCTTTCTGTGCTGTGTGGGACAGACAAAGCTACGAAAACACACATGTCTTGACACCTCAGAGAATTTCTATGTAATAATCGAGCAACAATATATTTCTACGCATTGCAAATAACCGCCGCAAGGAAAGGCAATGTTCACTGAATAAACTATGACACACAAGTTTATTGTGTAAACGGTTCGTGGCAACGTCGTCACAATTTCCACCTAACATTACGATGATGCTGCATCGTAATCTCCCTCGAAATCCGCTCGACGTACCGCGCGGGCGCGCACTACTAGTTATGCATCTCGATACGCGTATATCTCGTCACGCCCGTTCGATTCGAGAGATCGACTCGGCAAGTACGAGCGCACGGAGAGAAGGCTCCGGCGCGCGCCGTCGCCTTGACGACGATGACGACGTCGACGTCGACGGCGACGTCGCTTCGACGTCGGCGCAGTACGCCGTCGCGTAACCAGAGCCGCTGCGTCGCGTCGCGTCGCATCGGGTCGACGATCTATCCGATGGCAAACCAGTGTTCCGACTTTTCTCGGCTTTTGCGTCGCGTGTCCCGCTTCCGTCCCGACGCCGACGCCGACGCCGACGCCGTCGTCGCCGTCGCCGCCGCCGTCGTCGTCGCGTCGTTATCATCATCACGATCCCGTCCGATCGTTAACATCAGCGTTACTTGATCACGTAAATCTCGCGTACAGCAGCAGAGTTTGTCGCGCCGAATTTATACGTTAATCGGACGTCGCGCCGAAATTTGCGCCGACCGGGGGCGGCTCGGCCCGTTGACGGCGAGCGACATCGTCGGACGACACCCAGAGATGCCCAATGTCGATCTTATGATCCGCCATGGCATGAGAAACTACCGGGACATGTGCCTTTCCGCTTCTTATTGATCGGCGTGTTCCGACCGGTGCGACCATATTTCGCGGCCTGCAAAAGAGATCTCGGTAAGGGCTCGACAATCCCTATCCCTTCTCGTCGTTATGCCAAATCGGCCATTCGCCTCGCCTGCAAAAGTGCTCGCTTACTAAACGCGCAATTAAATACTTCGTAAAAGTATACTAATGTTATCGACGACTTCTAAATTGTACTACGAAGTCCCTCTTATATTCGTTATATGTATATTGCGTTTCTCGCATCCTCGCCATGCTTAGTAAGGCAACACTTTATTCAGCGAGGTAATATTCGTGATAATCATTGTTATTTCTTTAGAGATAAACGTATTTCCATCATAATAGCAGCCTGCCCTAATCGTGTAGCTCCTGTTATGTCTTATTTTCCATGGAGTAACAGTGACACTTGCTATTATTACGACAATACCAACGTAGTAAAAATGCCTGTCGTACGAAATGAGATTCAATAACAAATATATGCATATATTTCTTTCGCGCTTTATAATAAGAGTACAATAAAGTACAGAAAATAATATCATTATTAAATATGCATCTTCCGACAATTCTGCTTTTATACCTTTGTGCTACTTCATTCAAGAAACAATAATTTTAGATGTATTTTATATATTTTTTAAATTGGTAATGTTTGTATATATTTTAAGTATATTAATTTTATTCTAACGATTTTCGAGTACGATCGAGAAAATCTTCCTTTGTATAAAGAAAAGTTAAAAGGTAAAAAACGACAATTTCGATTATTAAAAAATTTTGAGAGCTGTACTCTGAAAAAATTCTTATTAATTGTAATTTTCTTCTTTTGTCTTCGGAAACAATTACTTCTTTAGATACGTTTCCGTGTTATCGAAAACACAGAAAATATTACGATAAAAGAGATATTTTCCACATGTACTGAAATTTATAGATATATGTGTATACAACTATTTAAAAAAAAAGTACCACTTACAAAACTTGCTCTCATATCGTCCAATATACCTCGTCGCCTCAGGCTCTTCGCTGTAACAATTCGTCATGAATACATTAATCTATAATATTTATCACAGTATATACTTTTATTAATATGCACGACATATACGCTTATCCCACATTTTCAAACTATCAAATCACCATTCAATATTTGATGCAATCGGACGTGCAGGAGAAATACGATTAGATTGAACGAAACGATTTAAATAGACGAGAACTGAGTCTAAATTGTCTAATGAAATTGAATAGCAATAGTCGTTACGTTGGGTGATTCGAGGAAAAATTTTCACATCGTGTCTTTCTTTCTGCCATTCGTAATCTATAGACTTGAAGAATTATTGTTTAGAGCAATTAAAAGTTATCGATTGCTTTGCATGGGCGCGGTAGGAAATTAACTGTCCTCTATTACACCGATTGATTTTGCAATCGTCTCTTAGTTTGTTTATATTTCATGTACCGACGAAAATTTAGCAATATATCGATCTTAAAATCTATATTTCTCAAGATCTCTCTCTCTCTCTCTCTCTCTCTCTCTCATTCAACATCCGATACAGTACAAGCCTATAATTCGTTACAATCCAAATGGTAAAGAGCGCATTGCGAGAAGACCCGCTTGACATTTGAAAATGTCAATAACTCTCTTCGCAAGTTCTACACGTAGGCTTATGCTTATTATCATCATCATACTGATATTCAACATTAGAAACTAAATCATTGTTGCCCGACCGACGCGCGTGCGACACGTACAACAGTTGTTTCTTTTAGCTTCCTACTCTCTAAAAATCAATTAGTGAATTATCACTGGAAACAGTGAATAGCCACTGATTTGCAGTTATAAGTATACTACTGAAAATTTCAGTGGTATACTTATAACTGTAAATCAGTGGCTATTCACTGTTTCCAGTGATAATTCACTAATTTATTTTTAGAGAGTACAAAATGAGATATTCTGGAAGAAATCGCGATAATTTTGCAACTGTATCACTGTAACATGTCTTTCGTTAGAAATCAGTGCCAATGTATTCGTTAATGTCTCGTAGTGTAGTGAAAATACCAAATCGTGTTTTATCGATTATTCGCCACTAAGCTTCATTGCAGAACTATAAAAGATTGGACAGAATTTTTCCCACGAACCGGGACGGTCACAATTCTCCTATTCCTAAGTGTATTTAAAAAACATCAATTGGATTTTATGTTTATGCAAGAGATCTTGTAATTCAGAGCACCACCGGGTTATCTCGACGAATATCAATGCGCAATACTATGCGCCTTATCGCTTATTATAATTTCCGCCGTCATTTTTACGATCACGTTTACACGCAGCTGGACACGCTATCAAATGCAAATCTAACAATACTGGGATACTCGACACGGGTGTACATTACCTGACATAAAAATAACGTAACGTGTGAAACGATATGAGCCCTCTATTACTTGTCTCGTGGATAGCTGTTGTTTTTAGGAATGGCAGGCTGAACACAAGGACAGAATTATATACAGTAGTTTATGTACATACAAGACACAGCTGCTACTATCATAGATTGCAGTTACAACGAGCTTAACATCTGCATTTCCTATATGAGGTAGAACGTTCATTGCGACATGTGCATACTTGCAATCAAAAATTTTCTAACCCGTTGACTTATAAGAAAAGGCATACCGTGTCAACGTACCAAATATTTAGAAACGATCTTCACACAGAATGCCGTATAAACTGTCCAGCGATCCCGTCTGTCTAGTCTCTTCTCGCTTTTACACAAATTATTCTCGGCATCGCGTACATTGATGCAGCGATACGTCGCAAGGCTAAACACATTTTACCACGTTGTTCTACTCGATACAGATCTCACTCTTTTTTTAGTATATAAATACATTTCATCGCCATAATCTCTTTCGGAAATAGCAAGTATTATTTCCACGTATGTGATCAATTTCAATTTTTTGAGAAATTGTATCTGGCGGGGGGAAGGGGAGGTCTACTAAAAGAAATATTCATCAACAGTGGATAATTTACCGTTTGTATAGAAAACGAAAAAGGAAATCATAGGAAATATATGGTAAGAATGATCTATTATCAACGTAGCTAATTAATTTATTTAGAGATCATTGCATCATTACGCATTAGCTAAGAAAATTACTTGTAATTATTAAAAATTCGACTATTTCCATCATCCTAGCCGAGATAAAAATTAGAAAACTACTTTTTAAATATTTTGTCCTTCCTATTTTTGACGTAAATAACTCGATACACATAAAATAGATATGAAATCTTCCATCGCGAGAAACTGCAGAAAATAAAAGAGAGGCAAAGAATGATTTAAACAGAGAACCTTAAATTAAAAAAATACATCTGTTATGACAATTGCAAATGTTCACGTTAAAAAGAGAAAACATACATATTTGTGTTTTTTTAAATTTCTGGTTTGCAAAAAAATCGCATGATATAATTTCAGCTATCCGCGTATGATCATCGTAATTCTCTTTAATCGCACCAGTTTTTCCCGATATAGAAGCTAAATAATAATTTACAAAAAGATTTGCTATCGCCAGCAATCTAAAACCAATGATAGTTTATTGAAACGACCTACACTGGCCAATGTTTCTATTTTAAAAATAACTAGTAACTTCACGGAAAAAAACATTTAGCTGCTGTAGCTAAAACTTAGCAAAATAGGGACAGCTAATATTTTAGTTGTGATAGCTCAATATTTTGCTACGACAGCAAACCGTTTGCTGTCGCACACTAATGCAATAGGCACAGTAGCAAAATATTGAGCTATCACAACTAAAATATTAGCTGTCCCTATTTTGCTAAGTTTTAGCTACAGCAGCTACATTGTTTTTTCCGTGTTGTTGGTTTAAAAAAAAACATTGGCCAGTGTAGGTCGTTTGAGTAAACTATCATTGGCTAAATAATAATGGCTAAAGACGCGGGCTGACAAGCATCAGCCATAATTGTTATACGCCATAAAACCTAACAGCCGCTCAAGTATATCCTGATTACTGCCAACTTTTTCTTGAACAGTCCGATAGCAGGACTGAGCGAGGGCAAGAATGAGTCAACGCAGCCGTGGTGGCGATAAAGCGCTCTGCCTTCTAATCAATGTCCGTTCGTCTATTCGTTAATGAAATGGCACGATAAAATCGATAACTCCGCACTCACATCCACGAGAGCAAAGAGCGCCATGTGGGTTATCGACCACAGCTGTCGACTCCCTGTACGCATACACTGTGCACCCTTAAAGCTTCCCTCACATGCGATCTCGCCAGAGAACAATTGGTACAGCTGATGACGATCCCCATGAGTCATATCTCTGACGTAAATTCTACTATAATTTTTTTCCCCCGTAAATTCTCGATATGATTTACCAAATACACGTGGGGTCGGGTAGACGACGCCTATTGATTATTGAAAAAAAAATGGAATAACGCAGCATCTACACGGAAAAAAAAGATTAGCTGCCATAGCTAAAACGTAGTAAAATAGGGACAACTAATATTTTTAGTTGTGATAGCTAAATATTTTGCTACTGTGCCTATTGTATTAGGTGCGACAGCAAACCGTTTGCTGTAATACAATACGCGTAATACAATAGGCACAGTAGCAAAATATTTAGCTATCACAACTAAAAATATTAGTTGTCCCTATTTTACTACGTTTTAGCTATGGCAGCTAATCTTTTTTTTCCGTGTACGTATCAGGAAGTAAGAAACGGTTACACACTTTCGTGTCTCGGTAATGCAGATTGCAGATTACGGTGATAGCAAAATATAGTAGTTGACTTTGGTGTTCCGTCGAAAGGTTAAGGTCGACGTTAAATCGGTTTCGTGATTCATTCATGCCAGTATCGATTGCAGCCTATAATTCGCGTGTTTCAAGTTCTCTGGTTTCCTTTCATAAAGCCCGCGTGTGTGCGAACCCTAAGGATGAATCTTAGCACAACGCCTAAAGTGTCTCAGTTAGGAGTGAGTCATAGGCGAGTGGTGTCTGCCAAAAAATTTGCACAACCACGTGCGTACCTACATATATCTATTAGAAACACATAGGCCACGAACAGTCTGAAGACGTC